CAATCAATCAAAAAAATCAGCCGGGTGTGGTAGCGCATGCCTGTATTCTCCAGCTACTTGGAAGGCTGAGGTGGAAGGATCACCGGAGCCCAGCAGGTCGAGGCTGCGGTGGCCGGGAGCGGCTACTGCACTCCAGTCTGGGTGACAGAGTGAGACTCCAACTCAAAAACAGAAAGTGACCGGCAATAGTGGCAAACTGTCAGGGGAGGGGAGGCTGATATTGACAGTTGAAGGAAACGGCTAGAGGAGGGAAGGGCATACCTCATCAACAAGGCTACTTGCATAATCAACATTTGTATACCTAACCCTGAATTGTACCCCAAATCTTTATAATTTAAAAAAAGGAAAAAGAGAAAAAAAGAACTACCCCATTTTACTTATATACCTGTAAGTAATAATAAATGTTTGTTTTTTAAGCTATAGAGCTTTGGGAGCAATAGCTGACTGATAAAAAATAAAAATGTAGGCCGGGCACGGTGGCTCACGCCTATAATGCCAATACTTTGGGTGGCCAAGGCAAGAGGATTGCCTGAACTCAGGGGTTCAAGACCAGCCTGGGCAACTTGGTGAGACCCCATCTCTACAATAAATCAGAAAAAAATTAGCCAGGCATAGTGGCGATACCTGTGGTTTCAGCTACTTACAAGGCTGAGGCAGAAGGATCGCCTGAGTCCAGTAAGTTGAGGCTGCAGTGGTTGTGAGTGGTGACAGAGTAAGACTCCCACTCAAGAAAAACAAAAACAAAAAAATGCAGAGCCTTTGTACGGGGAATCTTTTACGGAAGTCAATTCTTAATGTCCATGACTGTAGCTATGTACACTAAAGATGAAGTTGTAAACCGGCACTGACAGAACATCAATTCCCTTGGTTATTCTCACAACTTTCAACTCTTTAGGAAGTTGTACCAAAATTAAAAATCATTAGATTTAATAATGACAAGTGAGAAAAACAACTCCTTATGGGTTGAATGAATAAACCATATAAATGCTCAATAAAACATTTACAAGTATTATATAGGTAATGTAATATTTTTGTAAAAATTATTAGCCATTTAAAGTCAGGGTATTTCACAGAGAAATTCAAATTTCTGGTTTCTACCCCAACTAGCACTCCAGTTTGCCACCTTCTCTACCCTTCCTGTTTCTCTGCTTCAACATATCTGAGTTTGAGACAACTTCACAAAAGCATGCAAACGCACATGTATAAATTAGGCTGCAACAGTATTGGCTGACTAGCACTGGGCACACAAAACCTGCTACAGCTGATGCTGCGCCAAGGGCTTTCTCTGCCTTAGAAACAGAAACCTCACAAATAAGGTTTACCAAGGAGAACACACTCCAATGAATATGGACAATGATGACATTAATGAAACGCTTATCTCCAAACACTTCTTCCAAAAATCACACATTTCAGTCATCTTACTAGAATGCTCTTCTATCTTATCTTTGCCCAGAGTCAGAGGCATTCTTCAATGACAAGCCTGAAGTTACAACCTTTCTGTGGCTTTCCATTATCAGACTGAAAGGACATAACGTGGATTTAATATACCAAATGAGCAGCCATTTTAACATTACCTAACTCTCATGTTTTTCTAGCAGTTCACTTACCCTCTAATCACTAGCCAAGGACAGAACCAGTTTCTCAGAGGTAGCTATTGATAATTGTTTTACAACCCCCCCTCTAGCTTATTTTGGACTAATCAGCTTTTCTATTTCAAGTATTTGCCTCTACCCTTAAGACCAAAGTTAACCTAATCAGCCCTTTGTGACCTTCATGACATAGACAGACCCCATCACCATGGCAGTGATCATGTGACTAACCCACCCATTTACTGGCTATCCATCACCTGATGTCAATACCTGCCCCTTCGTGATGACATGGAGCAAACCACCACTGAACCACTTTAATGACCTGCCCCCACCAAGGGAAATGTTTAAAAGCATTCACCCCCAAGCAAGTCTAGTCTTGCCTTACTAGACTGTGGTGTGGCCAGGTGCTCTTTGAATTATGGCTGTTGCCATGTTTCCTGACTTTGGCCCCCTTCCTTACCTTGGGGAGGTGAATCTCCTTTCTCTCTCTCTAACTTACTTTTTAAATAAACTATATTTTTTAATCTAACGGTGCGATTCTTTGCATCTTTCACTCAGCACCAGATTGTGCACTGGACACCCATACCCTCAGCGGGTCTGACCTAACATTCTGGAGGCCCCCACTGGGATTGTGACCTAACACAGATTATCATTCTATATATTATTGCCAGTTGAGAATGTGTTTCTCTCCCTTCTTAGAGAGTGAGTGGACTCTCTAAGGGTGAGAGCTATATCTTCCTTATGTTTATATTCCTGGTCTGCCATGTAAAGGCACATTGTAAATGCTGATTGAGTTTAAGTGAGGATAGAATGAAAAAGGTCCATAAAGATAAACACCAAACTGAAAACAACAGGAGACACGAAGAAATGGGGACTGGAGAAGGCTGGCAAAGATGACTTAATACTTATCTGTAATTTTTCAGCCAAGAGAAATTATCCATGTACAATTGAAATTACTTGTTAAAAGCATAGCTCTATGGTCATAGGCATATAAATAGTCTACACAGCAGGACATAACAGAAGAAGGCATTCTGTGGTTACTCTGATCAGAGAGGAAAACTATGGCTAACACTGGTCAAGCCCTTCTTATGTTGCAGGGATATCTCTAAGTACTTGCTCTAACTCTTCTGCAAGCAGAAAACTGAGAGTTAACTCTGTACTAATGCCCCATTTTTGTTATTGTTGTTGTTTGTTTGTTTTTGTCAGGGTCTCACCCTGTCGCCCAGGTTGGAGTGTCGTGGCACGATCACAGCAATCATGACTCAGCAGCCTCAACCTCCTCGGCTCAGGCAATCCTTCCACCTCAGTCCCCTGAGTATCTGGGGCTACAGCTAGGTGCCACCATGCCCAGCTAATTTTTTGTAGCGACAGGGTTTCACTATGTTGCCTAGGATGCTTTCAAATTCCTTGTCTCATGCAATCTGCCCACCTCAGCCTCCCAAAGTGCTGAGATTATAGGTATGAACCGCTGCACCCAGCCCTAATTTCTCTTCAGATGGGTTGCTTGACTCTCATGGACCCAGGTCCATATCACCAAGATATGGACCAAACACTTTCCCACAAGGTTTAAGGAATGAAACCCTTTCAAAATTGTTGCTATAGTGACCAGTAGTTCTGTTTCTTCTGCAGAAGAGTCAGTTTTTAGGCCAAGACTAAAGTGACAGGAGCATTTGTCCAGTTAGAAGGAGCCAAAGAAAATCCCTGCCAAAGGCGTGTACTTGCCTTCCAGAGTTGAAGGAGGGATGCTCAAGTGAGTCACTTGAGTTGCTCGGGCAACAATACTTTAAGATTTAAAAATGCTTTCAATTTGCAAAAGGACAGGAAATTTGGACTGGGAAAAGTCAGATGGACAAAAGTCGCTTTACCAGATTTTAAGAGTCACCTTCTGGCACTCATCCTCCCTCTCCCTTCTGGCATTACAAGTACTTCTCTCATCTAAAGCAAGGGCACAGAGTACACTCTGACACTTTGGCCACCCTGCCAACAAGCAGCAGGGCTCCAGCTCCGATTGAAGCGCCGATCAGAACAGTTAGGAATATGAGTCCTGGAGTAAGACAGGCTAGGTAAGAATTCTAACTCTGCCCTCAGCTAGTTATGTGACCTTGAGTGAGAGTTACTTATCCTCTCCAAGTCTCCCATGCATTCATCCATTTCACAAATAATTATTAAATGTCTCGTGCGGGCTCAGCATTGTATAGGGATAGAACAGTGAACAAACGTGCATCTCATTCTTATGAGGCCTGCACATTAGTGGAGACCTAGCTCATATCTAGTAGGGACCTGTGGTAGAGACTGCTAGATAGTGTCTCAGTCCTCAATCAACCCCTCTTCCCTCTAGGATCACAATCTCCCAGGTATCAACTGTTCAGCTGGAGATGATGAACTCTGAGGATAGGTACATACCAGCACATGAAGGTATACAGATAAGGGTTCAGTCACAGGTGACCATGGTCACGCTGTGTCCGTTACTGTTACCAACTGTCTCCTCTCAGCTGCAACCTCTCCTGCAGCCCACCAGCACTGTTCTTTTCTGGGGGCAAAGTTGAAACCTTGAGCCACTCAAGTAGCCTGTGCAGCCTGGATCCCAGCATTCCATGTCCCCAGGGATGAGGATGAGAAATACCATTTGAGAGTCTCAATAGTAAAACATGCTAATAAAATATAATAATATAAATAAAATATAATAATAAAATAAAGTATTCTTACGGCAGTCAATGTTGGACTTTGAAATCTTACAGATTAGTCCTAGAATGTTAATATAGTCTAATTTCATATTATTTCCCTTTTTCTACCTTTTATCCCTCAACCTATATAGTAGATACTTGCTTTGTGCCACACACAGCTTCTCCCCTTTCTTATGGGGAGAATACCCTTGATTTTGTTTGAGGGTAACCAATTCCTTCCTACTCTCATCAGGTATTTCAGGTAAAGCTGACTCCCCCCTGGCTCTAGGAAGTGAACACATGTCTCAGGTTTAAGTTCCTTTCCCTCTGGACAACATGACTGATTCAAGAATGGGACATGACCTATTGTCAAGCCAACTGGAGTCGCTAAGACTCAATGCTGAGGTCATTGAGCAGATTCCTTTTTTGAGGCAGATTCATTGCTTTTCGCTTGACTACAGTGTGGAAAAATGTATGCTGAAGCTAAAGCCACCTTGCTATGATAAGAAGAGTCTGTGAAGGTGGCCAATTCAGAGGGAGGTCATACTAAGAAATAAATGTGGGAAAACTAGTGCCAGTGTCAGGTGGAGCACTGATTAAGCTGTACCAGCAGCCAGTCTCATCTCTAGCCTTTTCAGTTATATGAGAAAATAAATGCCCTTTTTGCTTAAACTATTTTAGAAGTTTAGATTCTTTGTCACAGGTAGCAGAAAAAGTCCTTCTCCATTTTCCCAACTCACCAACACAGCTTGACATTAAGATAATCACTTCTCAGCCAACAAGTAAAAAAGGGTCCATTCACTATGCCTCCCAGTTCCACAGTCTTTTTATTCTTTGTCTCTTTAAGCCTGACCAAGTTCCCTTGTGCTTGTGCACAGCAGAACTGACCTCCACCTTCTGTGACATACAGCCAGCTGGTTTGGATTGCTGCATTGATCTAGGGTTTTAGCATGACTGGTGGCATTGTGTTATTTTATTAACAAAATCTATTGGCTGAATAGGTTAAGATAGTAGGCCCTAAAACATGTCCCCAACCCACTACATATACACACAAAAGAAGCAAAAGAGTCCTAGACCTTTGAAAATACTACTATTTCCTTATATTTTCAATATTTAGTCTCCAAAAGCAGGTAATGTGTTTAAGACTAAAATCTGATTGTCCCAATTAACATTAATCAAAATCAGAAACCACTAAAAAAAAAAAAGAAAGAAATGAGGACTCACCAATCAAGGACCAGATAGGATTATTCTCTTCTTCAATGCTTGAAAATTGACCGATGAGATTAGCTTGAACCTCAGTATTTAAAGTGGGTAAACCTCTTTCTACCAGGGTCTTGTTAACCTCAACACAAGTCTGAACACCAATAGAATTCAGGACTTCCTTCAAGTTAAAGGTCCTATAAAACATAAAATGAAATCCCATCAGAGAAAATATTTGTTCATCAGGTTTTTTGTTTCTTTTTAATAGAGCAATTTCTTTTGGATGTCTATCAATTTTCTTTTATACAGACAATAATAATTTCTATTCAGAATGAACTTATAAAACAATAGCTCCTCCCAACCACCAACCCTTATATGTGGCATATGTTTTAGTACTTAAGATCATTCAGCTATGTAGTTAGTGTTCAAATAGAAAAGGAGAGGCAGAAAAATACAGTTTCTGAAAATAAGTCTGCAACTCCATTTATATGCAGGGTTATCAGAAAGGGACGGAAAACATCAATTTATTTCTTAAAATAAACCCTGAGTAGATTCATTCATAAATCTTTTTTTAATGTGCTTGGAAAAGGAAGTAGAATCTCAGTTCATTTATCTATGCCTAAGCAGTTAATTCTATAACATCAATCAAAAACAACAAATAAAGATATTCAGAGGTCAAATTTTTGAAAGATCATAAAACTTTTGAAAGATCATAACCAAAGATAATAAGCTTCTTCCAATTATTACTTTAAAGTAATTACTGAATAATTCTGAATATATAGAGTTCAGAAAATGTTAAAAAAGAAATAAAGGAGTGGATTATTTAATAGGTAAGGAAAAGGAAGTAATTATAAAGAGCATTTGTTGGATCCACAGCTATTAAGGAATGACGATTGAAAATTCTATCTTACTATCCAGAAAGGGTCTTTAAGATAACTTGGCAAAATGGGAATTAAAGAATGAGAGATGGGCCTAATGACAGCAGGTAGTATAATGGAATGAGCTGGAACATCAACTGTAGTATCTTAAGAACCGGGGTTCAAATCCTGATTCTATATGCCTATACTTGCTATATGTCTATATTCACTTAGCAGATTGCCAGGCACGTAGTAAATGCTTAATCAGATGTAGAAGAAAAAAGGTAAAATGGCTTATCATTATTATCATCATTAACAGCAATCAGAAGTCCTTGACTGGAATCTGTTATAACCCCACAGTAGACTTGATTTTGGGGTTCTGCAACCCAACAGTAGGTTGTTGGTGGCAAAATTTTGACCTTCTGACTTTTTATTCACTGCAAAGTACTGTCCTAGCTTTTTCCTGCTTTTAGTTAGTGAGTTCTTAAACTAAAGGAAAAATTACATCTTAGGATAAACCATGGCTTCCTATTTTCACAGTAAAGAAGAAAAAACTTGGCCGGGCTCAGTGGCTCAAGCCTATAATCCCAGCACTTTAACAGCTGAGGTAAGAGGATTGCCTGAGCCCACAGGTTCGAGACCAGCCTGGGCAACATGGTGAGACCTCATCTCTACAATAAATAAAAAAATTAGCTGGGCGTGGTAGTGCATGCCTATAGTTCCAGCTATGTGGAAAGCTGAGGCAGAAGGACCGCCTGAGCCCAGCAGGTCGAGGTTACAGTGGCCATGAGCATGCCACTGCACTCTAGCCTGGGCAACAGAATGAGACTCCAACTCAAAAAAGAAGAAAAAGAAGAAAAAAACTTTGCCAGGCGAGGTGGCTCACGCCTGTAATCCCAGCTCTTTAGAAGGCAGAGGTAAGAGGATTACCTAAGCTCAAGGGTTCAAGATCAGCCTTAGCAACGTGGTGAGACCTCGTTTCTACAATAAATAAAAAAATTAACCAGGTCTGGTGGCACACGCCTGTAGTTCCAGCTACTAGGAAGGCTGAGACGGAAGGATCTCATGAGCCCAGCAGGGCGAGGCTACAATGACCATGGGCGTGCTACTGCACTCCAGCCTGGGTGACAGAGTGAGACTCCAACTCAAAAGAAAAAAAAAGAAAAAAACTATTTTTGGCATCATCAAGCCAAAAATAAATGATATCTGAGTCTACTGACTAATTAGGATAATCTGCTTTTTTAATATTATGAATACTATTACCCCATCCATAATGAGATTAATTGACTGTATTAATTTCCTAACACAGGGGAAAAAATAAAAAATCAGATGAAATTATAAAAAGGATTTAATAACTACATAGTTATTAATAGCTAGCATTCACCAAGCACATACTATTTGCCAGATACTGGTACATGAATCATCTAAGTTCTCATAACTTTAAAGTAGATACAATTATTATTCCCTTTTTACAAGTGAGAATTTGAGGCTTAGTGATTTGGGAACTTGTTCAGGCATACATAAAAGGTCAATAGCAGGCCAGGTACGTAATCCCAGCCCTTGGGAGGCCGAGGCAAGTGGATTTCCTGAACCTGGGAGTTAAGGTCAGCCTGAGCAACTTGATGAGACCTCGACTCTATAATAAATCAAAAAATAAGCCAGGCGTGGTAGCACACGCCTATAGTTCCAGCTACTTGGAAGGCTAAGGTGGCAAGGATCACCTAAGCCCAGAAGGTTGAGACTGTAGTAGCCATGAGAGTGAGACTCCAACTCAAAAAAAAAAAAAAAAAAAAGTCAATAGCAGAGCTAGGATTTAAACCCTGGTCTGTCTCACCTGAAAGCTTGTCCTCTTAGTAACCACTTTTTACATGCTTTATATTAATACTTTAGCACCATTAGATGTTCACTAAAGTCTTAATTAGTATACATTTCTGAAAAATAATAGTTACCCAGTATGGGGAAATGCTAAGATAAGACCAATTGCAGAATCAGAGGGTTTTTTTTCATTGTAGGTCTTGGGTCCTAGAATATGAAATGAGCCTGGCAGGTGCCCACCAGAATCAAGAGAAAAGGCAGGGCCTTGATACATCAGATCAGGGCTCAGGCCTTGGTTTTCCCTTTTCTAGATGTGCAACCCAAGGCAAACTCTATTCTCTTTCTAAGCTTCAGCTCAAAATGAGACGCTTGGACTCTAACCACTTGGGCAGAAGTCCTTCTGGCTCTTAATATTCTAGGATTTTATCAAGTAATTGACATGCTCTCCGAGTAATGGGTAGGAGGATGGGAGGATAGGTGACTCTGCCTTCAGTAATAGAAACATAGAGGACTTGCCCCCGAAAACAACTGAAAGAGGAACCAGCAGGAGGAGCTGACCCATATAAGACTCATGGAAACCCCTGGCTATTGACTGAGACTAGGAATTTTCTGACTTGGACAGGACTTCCAATGGGGTGATCTAAGTGGGATTCCAGCATTCAATGAATACTGGAGATAAATTTTAAATTTAGCAAAAACGAAAGCTTCACTGGAGTTGTGTCATAGAATTATCACTTCTTTTTTTTTTTTTGAGTTGGAGTCTCACTCTGTCACCCAGGCTGGAGGGCAGTGGCACACTCAGGACCCCCCAGTGTCGACCTGCTGGGCTCTGGAGATCCTTCTGGCTCAGCCTTCCAAGTAACTGGAACTACAGGCACACACTACCACAGCAGGGTGGATTCATAAAGTCAATAAACATTTCATTGCAGAAAAATGGTGAAATCAGAGCAACTGAACCCGGAAATTCCTCTTTAAGAGAACAATTCTAAACACTGAGCTTGGTGGATTTCTGGTTTTTGTTTGTTTTTTTCCACTACACTGTTAAAGAAAAGTTCTTGCATTCCACACCCATTGTAAGTGGAAATACTATCCTCATCCTGGCACTTGTCACAGAAAACACCTCTCCCTTCCTATGAAAGGACATCTAAGCCTTCAGAGATATTAAAAGAAATTCTAGAAAAATAAGGTGTAAGAAAAACTTCGCTAAAGCAAAGTCCTGAATGTCACATCCATATGTCCAAGGTTCTTGTTCTGTAAAACACACGTAGAGCTTTAATACAAGGGGGAACAAATACAAACATTTTGGACTTACTCTTTGTTCATGCCTTCAAGTAGAACAGTTGAAATCCTTTTTAATCTGTCTGCAAGCTCAGGTAGGCCTTCTGTAACAGCACCCACCATGTTTTTGGTAATTAGGGACAGGCAGGCAATAATTTTCAACTGATTCAGCTTTTCTGTCAGTTCCTGAAGACGTGCTGCATCTGTCATGAGTGTCTAGCATATTTATTTAAGATATAAAAATAGAAAGAGTAGCTCAATATCGCAAAAATGTAAAATAAGCAATGTCACACCCAAACTCCCATTTTTATCTGAGTTTAGTAAAGTCGTTAAATCATGCAACACAGACCAGTTGATTGAAAGTTAGAACTTAAGAATTGTAATATTGGAAAACTTGGAGGAAGAAAAAAAATCACTCACCTCTGGTAATTCTTTTTTCTGATAATCCCACTGTAACAGTTTCAAGTAACTATTATTAAGCACCAATGTAGGGCTCAGGCTTGGCTTGGAGCTATTTTCAACCCCAGGGGTGAAAGCAGTCTCAGAAAGAGAAAGTAATTCTTCATTTACAGATTCTTTTATCCATTCTGTAGTTTGATCAAGAGCACCTAAGAGTGAAAAAGCCACATATTTGTCCTAGAGCCAACAGATCCTTTCCTCTGTGCTATGTTAGGTGCTCGGCATTAATAAAAAGACACAGCCAGACCCCTCAAGGAGTGGATAGTCCAGATGGGGATTCAGATCTGTAAACCAACAGTTATGACAGAATACAACGAATGCTGGAAGGCACAATGAGAGTGGTGGGAGCAGAAGTTATCCAGGAAAGGGTTTAAGAGGAAGAGCTCTGCAAGTGACACTTGAAGGTAAAAGGTAGGCAGAGGAAAGGGCTGACATTCCAGGCAAGGAAACTGGCCTACATAAAGATCTAGAAAATAGAGCATAAGCCGGGCTCGGTGGCTCAGCCTGTAATCCCGCGCCTTTGGGAGGCTGAGGTGAGTGGATTGCCTGAGCCCGCGGGTTCGAGACCTGCCTGGGCAGTGAGACCTCATCTCTACAATAAATAAAAAAACCAGCCGGGCATGGTAGCGCATGCCTGTAATTTCGGCTATTTGGAAGGCTGAGGCGGAAGGCTGAGGCGGAAGGATCGCCGGAGCCCAGCAGTTCGAGGCTGCGGTGGCCGGGAGCGGCCACTGCACTCCAATCTGGGCGACAGAGTGAGACTCTAACTCAAAAAAAAGAAAAGAAAAGAAAAGAGAGCATATAGCACATTTTGGATGCTATAAACACATGTGTATTGCTTGTCCATAAAGAAGTAGAGAGAAGAGGGTAGTAGCAGATGGTATAGGATGAGTAGACAGAAGCTAGCTCACAAATGGCCTTGAGTTGTGTATAGAGAAGGCATTTAGACTTAAGGCATTAATTATTAAACATTCTGGGGCCCTGGACCCCTCTGAGTGTCTGATTAGAGCCATACCTTTCCCAGGATGCATGTGCATGCTCATGTGCACATATATGCCCACAAACAATTTTCATTCTATCCTGTTATATTTGTAGCCCCAGGTTATAAACACCAGCTATAGGGAATGAGGAGTTTTTGAATAACATTTTTTCAACATAGATCTGATGGCATCAGACATGAATGTTAGAAAAATCACTTGGAAAGGAAGTCTGAATTAGTGAAGGGAGAGTAGACTGTTGCAGTGGTTCAGACAAGAGAGCGAATGGACAGAGCAGTGGAAGTGAAGGGTACGGGGGAGAAACATTTATGGGGAACACCCACGGGTTTGGTGACCACTTCAATGCAGGAAGTAGGAAAGAAGGATTCTAGGATGACTTCCGGATTTCTAGCTTGGATAGATGAATGAATGATTGTGCTATCTATCAAAATATGGAATATAGGCTAGAGAAGTCCTGAAATAAATCCTTCCCATAACCTTTCTAGGGCCATGCTAATCTTCTAGTTGTCAAATCCAACATCTTTGTAATACCTGTCACTCTGAGTAAAACCCTCCTGAAGTTCTTTCTTTTCCTGGTTTCTGTGACTCCACTCTCTCCTGGTTTCCTCTAGCTTTCCTTCCACATCTCAAACCTAGGTTCCTCTTCCTCTGCCTCCTCCTTAAATACTAATGTTTCCAAGGACTCTACCCAATTTTGATTTGTTACTCTTCAATTTCACTGGACCGTCTTATTTGTGTCCATGGTTTCTATTTCTGTCTGTACCCCAGAAGGTTCCTACATCTATTCTCTAGCCTCATTTCTCTCCTGAGTTTTGATCTCCTCATTTGCATAATGGGGAAGTGAAAGGAGAGTCACTGCATTTGAGGTTGGGAAGAAATGCTCAGTAGAGCACACTGCTATATGGTGTTTCCATCATCCAGACACAACTGGTATAAAGAATATCAAGCCTATAGACAACAGTAAGAGAGTTTAGAAGAGATGAGTCTTTAGTATCTAATTACCTTTGCTTGTTGGTAATTATTATTCATATTTACTTATTTTTTCACACAAATATAATTATGTATTCATATATGTATATATTAATATATCTATAGACATGTAATAAATTCATACAATAAAGGATTCAGCTCTTAAAATGTCTGGTTTGGTAACTTTGAACCATTCTATATACCTGTGCAACTACCACCTAAAACAAGATATAGACCATATCTATTACCCCAGAAAGTTCTCTCATCTCCCTTTCCAGTCAATTTGTATTCCCTCAACTACTTTTAAATTCTAACTTTATGGATTAATTTTGTCTTCTAGAACTTCATGTAAATGTAATCATATAGTGCCTAGCATAATGTTTTTAAGATTTATCAATGTTGTACAATATGTCATAGTTCAGTCTCTTTTTTAGCGCTTAAAAATAACTTTTAAATTTTGAAATAGTATAAAACTGAAGAAGTCGTAAAAATAGTACAGAAAGTTCCTGTATACCCTTCACCCAGCTACCACCCCCCCGACACCCAGAGTGCATTATCAAAATCAGGAAACAGACATTGGTACAATACCATTAACTTAGATATACAATTTATTTGGATTTTACCTGCATTCATTGTGTGTGTGTGTGTGTATGTAGAGTTCTAAGAAGTTTTATTACATATATGGATTCAGAGTCCATCACCGTAAAAATACTCCCTCATGTTATCCTCTAACAGTCATACTCTCCCCCCAATCCTAACTTCTGCCAACCATATAATATGTAATAGTTATGAATTGTTTGTCCCTCCCCCTATCCCCCGCCAACACACACACACATTCTTATGTTGAGGCCTTAACTCCCACTGTGATATCATTTGGAGATGGAGCATTAGGGATATAATTAGGGTTAGACAAAGTCATGAGGATGGTTGTTCTTATAACAGGAGACAAGAAAGATCTTGCTCTCTCTTTCTACATGCACACGCTGAGAAAAGGACATGTGAGAGTCAAGAAAGAAGCTGGCTGAAAGTCAGGAAGAAAGCCCTCATCAGAAACCAAGTCAGCTGGCACCTTCATATTGGTCTTCTGGCCTCCAGAATGTGAGAAATAAATTTCAGTTGTTTAAGTCACCCAGGCTACGATATTTTGTTATGGCAGCCTGAGCAGATCAATACAATAACTCTTTGAAATTGACTCTGCTTACTCAGTATCCATTCAAGTTTTGTGATAGTTTGTTTCTTTTTATTATTGAGTAGTACTCCACTGTATGGATGTACCAGTTAGTCCACCTACCTGTTGAAAAACATTTGGGTTGTTTCTAGTTTGGAGCTACACAAATAAGGCTGCTATGAACATTCATATACAGGTTTCTGTGTGAATGTAAGTTTACAATTCTCAGGGATAAAGACTCAATATTATGATTGCTAAATTGTATGGTTAAGTGTATGTTTATCAAGAAACTGCCAAATGATTTCCCAGAGTTTTATCTTTTTTATTTTTTAATCTTTATTTTATTTTATTATTATTATTATTTTTTTGAGTTGGAGTCTCACTCAGTCGCCCAGACTGGAGTGCAGTGGCCGCTTCCGGCCACTGCAGCCTCGCCAGCTGGGCTCCAGCGATCCCTCCACCTCAGCCTTCCGAGTAGCCGGAATTACAGGCGTGCGCTACCACGCCCAGCTGATTTCTTAATCTTTATTTTTAATATAATTTAGTAATTGTAAATTTACATCATTTAATTTTTAGTAATGGCTGGGTTTGCTAGCTCACAGAATTCCTGAAAGTGTAGCAAGAGGCTCCCACATTAGTATCTGCTACATCCAGCAAACCCCTGACATTGCCCATTTCTAAAATTAATTATCTGTCGAACAGAGCCCAACACAAGCAGGCATAGAGGTACTTTACATTTATTGCTTGAAATCAGCTTCACGAGAACATAAACATAACTTGCAGTGCAGAGGGACTGATCAGCAAGTCTGTTGGCAAGAGAGCTTAGAAAGCAAGACAGAATGACAAGCAGACTAAGGAGTCAAATTTGCATTGCAGGTGAATGAATCTCAACTAAGTGCAACCTAACAACAAAGCAATCAACTAGGTTCCCCTCTGCAGGATAAGTGGCTGGTGCAGTAGCTGGGAGTGTGGCCTCTGAACTAGGCAGTCTGAACTTAAGTCTGGCCTTCATCGCTCATGCACTGGGCAAGTTACTTAATCTCACCTCAGTCTCCTTATCTGTGAATTGAGGACAATAGGACCTACCTGCAGTTGTGGTAAAGCTCCAACAAATTAATATATGCAAAACACTTAGAACTATTTCTGGCACAAATGAAATGTCCGATAATAGTTAGCAATTTAATATTAGCTCATTTAACTCTCCAAACAACCTTTAAAGGGGAGATTCTTGTCTCAGCGGGTCCCAGTCAGGTTCTCTGCCTGATATACAACAGTTGCCTCTGACATAAGTGGTCACCCATGGAATAGAAAGAGTTGCGTAGGCTAAGCGGTAGCTTGAATAAGACAGGCTTTTCTGGGGAACCTGGCTTTTTCTTTCCTTCTTCTTTTTTAAAGACCAGTTAGTGTACTAACTTGAGGGACTAGAATCTCAGCAGATCCCCTTGAAAGCCAAAGCCTTAAAACAGATGTTATCTAGAAACCATGCAGAAACCGAAAATCTAGTAACTCAGTTTATCTCTAGTATTTGGCAAGGGCTATTCCAGAAGGTAAGATAGGAGATTCCCTCTATCAGCAGTGAGGAAGGATGAAGTCACTGAACTGGAGTCTCATTCTTTTTTTTTTTTTTTTTTTTTTGAGTTGAAGCCTCACTCTGTCACCCAAACTGGAGTGCAGTGGTCGCTCCTGGCCACCGCAGCCTCGACCTGCTGGGCTCTGGCGATCTTTCTGCTCAGCCTTCCAAGTAGCTGGAACTACAGGCTTGCGCTACCACATAGGCTAATTTTTTTTTTTTGAGTTGGAGTCTCACTCTGTCACCCAGACTGGAGTGCAGTGGCCGCTTCCGGCCACGGCAGCCTCGACGTGCTGGGCTCCGGCAATCCTTCCGCCTCAGCCTTCCAAGTAGCTGGGATTACAGGCATGCGCTACCACGCTCAGATGATTTTTTTTTTTTATTTATTGCAGAGATGAGGTCTTGCTGCCCAGGCGGGTCTCGAACCCGCGGGCTCAGGCAATC